ATCTCCTCGCTCGGCAGCAACAGCACCGCTGCTGCTTCCCAGTCTCGAAGAAGATGAAATGAACGAAGCGGCGCTACCAGCAGCATCTTCGACCAGAGAAGCGGACCAATCAGAGGCGGATCCCACAGACGAACTCGCCGAGGCAAACGCTATCCTAGAAGACCCCGTGGCGGAGTTGACGTTGCCCCCGCCCCCGTCGTTAGCCTTCGGCGCGTCCATGCTCGGCGCGGCGGGGACCTTGACACCGTCGTCCCCCTTCGCCTTGAGCGCCGACTTCGCCGCCCGTCGGGCCTCAGTCTCGGCCTTGAGCGCCGCCAGCCGCGCCCGCGCCCCCGCCCGCACGTCCTCCAGCCGGCGGAACGACTCCTCCCTCCTGCGGAGGGCGTCCCGCAGCGCGGAGCCCTCCTTCTCTGTGGAGGGCGGCCGCTCCAATACCACCACTCTCGTCGCTCCCGCCGCCGCCGCCACCGCCGGTGCTGGTGCCGGTGCCGCCGCCCGTGGTTCTGTGCCCGCACCAGCCATAGCTATGGCAGCGGCGGTGGCGGCAGAAGACTCTTGGCTGGCTCCCGAGGAGTAAGGCGGCGGGCTACCCGCGGCGGCGGCGGCGGTGGCGGCAGCACCGCTGGTGTTGCCATTGTAGGCGAAACCTTCGCCGTGCTGCTGCGCTTGTAGCGTCGGCGAGTACGGGGGTGGAGGCCCGCGATCGCTGGTGGTTTGCTGGGGTGCGGGGTTTTCCTGGGACAAGGAGGGAAGGGCGCCCCCCGGTTGCAAGCAAAGCGGAGAAGGGGTGGGGGTTCGGCGGCAAGAACAGTACCTGCTGGGGTACGAGCCAGTCTCAAAGAAGACGCCGCGCTGCTGCTCACTTGACAATACGCTCGTCTAACAGTACTTGCCGTGTGCTGTTGGGCAGCTCGCTACAATCATTTGAAAAGTGCTAGTGGGAAGGTCGCTAGAACCAAAGAGCTTCGAAAAATCGGTCCAGGGGGTGGGGTATCTTGTGTTACCCAAACGGTATGCTCATCAACCCGCCGGTGCTCTCACCCATTGCGCCTCCCCGGTGGCGCGGTTGCAGTAGTAGTACATGTGATGCTGGTCGGACCAGACCGCCTCCCACCCACTGCTTAATATCGTACACAGCAGCGGCGACACCCATCCCCCCCCCCGGTTGTTCACGTGTGCAGCGACGAATAGAGAGGGGAGGAGGAAAAGCAGGCGTGAAAAACAGCAGTCAGATGGGAGAACGAACAAAAGAAAGCAAGACACACAAGTGCCGAGTGTACGGAAAACGACGAGCGGAGGATCGGCCAAAAGAACCACAAAAAAAAAGAATCGAACAAAGCAACGTGCGTGCCTATCACGATGCTCTCGTCCACAGTACAAGCGAGTCTCGGATGGCCGCGCGCGCGCCGCATGGGGGCGGGCGGGGCTGTATGGTGCTCTGCTCCCTACGCGCAGCTCGACGCAGAGCAACAGCAGACACAGTTGGGATTATGTACATCGGGAATAACAAAGAAGCACCTGAGGAGGGGGCGCGTTATCTCGCTTACATGGTGTCGGTCTCGCCGGAAGATGCAGTGCCAGCGGAAGAGGCAGCGGTAGCAGCAGCAGCAGCAGCAGCAGCAGCAGCAGCAGCACCGTCGCGCCCAGCATCCTTAAGAGTCGTCTCGACCTCCGTGCCTCCGGGACTGTAAAAAAAAACATTGCGACAGCCGCAGGCGAAATGTTAAGGTACAAGCTTGAGCTTCAAATACATGATAGCCAACATTCCAGTTCAAGTCCACGACAACGGGTTCCTCTGCATGAAAAATGATGGCGTTTCGGGGTTGGACGTGGATTGTGCAGCAATCGCGCCGCATCTCCTGGGAGGGTTCCTGAACCCCCCCCCCTACCCTCCCATCCCCTAAGGTTCGAACTGTATGTACTGACCTAGCAAATATCGGGAGTGTTATCGGGCACAAAAACGATTCGCAGACACCCCACGTTTCGAAACCAATAAATAACAATGTCACTGTACATAGGAGCACGAATCAAAATATATTGGGGAGTAAACAACAAAATAATCAAAAAGCCGTGTGCTGAGGGCGCCGAACACGAGCGTCTGCAAACCAACCTCGTCAAGGAGCTTTCTCAGGTTTCCCACAGGGTCACCGGGAGATTGTCGCTAGTGTTAAAATCCCCCGATGTTTCAACTCCCCGGTGTTTTAACCCCAGGTACAGAAAAGGGTTGGATCTAGAACTTCGGCACCGGCATCATGACATCAGCATCAGAGTCCCGCTCCAAAAAACCCGAGGCGAAGAAAAAAACCTCGATTCCAACGCAAAAGCCCGTCCGAACAACCCCGCCTACCCTACTCCAAAGATTCAAGGCATCTAGACGGCTCCCATGTCTGAGCGTCGGCGAATAATGTCTGCACGTTTCCACGTATGTCTGTAGTGTCTGCACGTTTCTGGGTGGAAGTAGAAACGCGGCGACATGGAGCGCCAACCAACCTGCAGACGTGCAGACACTGCTGCAGACAAAAGTCGACACGTGCCGACATGGAGCCCCAACGTCAGACAGAGAGCGCCCAACAGAGAGACAGCAGCAGCGCGGCAAGAGCACCGAAATCCGTAGGTGGTTCGCGCAAGAGAGAGCGTATAGCAGGAATAGTCGCGCGAACCCCTAGGGGTTATGTAGTTAACACGATGGATGACTGCCCAATATCACAGGGAATATTCGACATAATATCTTGAGATTGGGGACGTTGGTGTCAAGCCCCCGGAGGGTGACGCAAGATGACACGCCCGAACGTCTCTCAAAGGGTCGACACGTTTCTACCACACAAATCAACCAATCGGTAAATGTTGTCTGCTGCGCCGAAATCTGCTAACTCCGGTTGGACGAACTGATTTTGGGTCTGAAAACAACAACACGAAGCAGAGGCGAGAGTGCACGCTCACAAGGGGCAATACGCTATAGCTGAGTGAGGATGCAAGCGCTCAGGTGCTCAGACTGTGCCCGCGGCCGGGCGAAGACGAGAAGAGGCGCTGTTGGAAGTCGCGATAGGACCAGCGATCTACAGCAGTTGTTCCTACTGTCTGTACAACGTTGAAATAAAGCCAGTGGTGGCACCAGAGAATGATTTTTTTTTTTCTCCCATCATTGGACTTTGTCGTCTTCCCCTCTGGCCCCTATCCTCCAATTCTACTGGCTAGACGACCCAACCGGGGTCACACGGGAGGGGGGGGGTTGGACCCCCTCCTGCGGTTCCTGCCTGAGATATTTGTATCGCGAGAAGCGAATGAATGTGGAACAGCAGCTCACAAAAGGTTTGAAAATTTATCATTGAATCTAAGTAGGTTGCAAGACCCCTGTGGCGACCAGATGACAGCAATGCTACGACTACACACCTCAGTCCGCAGTCCGCAGCCACTTGCGACTGCACACAAATCACACCATGGTGGTACGCCCGAAGCGTGTGGTCATGTCGGTACAGTGTGCACGTGTGATCTACCGCAGCGGAGTGCAGCAAACAGCAGCGTGCCCAGCGCGAGAAATCACGCCGTTCTTGTTGCTTTTGCGCATGCCGGTGCCAGGGGTGTAAAACCACCCGTACCGATGCCCTGGCCCGCAGAGCAATTGACGGTATAGCAGTTCAGAAACTCTGATTGGGTGGATTCTTCCCGCAACACAGGTCGACATGCCCACTGCTGTGTACTCCGTCACACAACGGCGGGCAGAACGGTCTTGTATTCCACGGACGACACATGCATGCTCGCCAAACACGAGTGTGCCGCGCACAAGGACGACGAGAGAAAATAGTCGGATCCGACCACCGCTATTTTGGCTCCTCACTACATAGACACAGCAGCAGCAGCAGCAGCAGCAGCAGCAGCAGCAGCAGCAGCAGCAGCAGCATCAACATACGACGCCTCTCTTGGTTGTACCCCTGATGCTGCTGCTGTGTCACACATGAAGGAGGCCTCTGCTAATAACCCTGACATATGGAGCAGGAAGTTTTCCGCACCTTGTGTGGCCATCCGGGCGCTGCCAGGTTGTTTCTCCGGTCACCCTGTTATGGTAGTAGGCCACCCCCTGCTCTGTGGTGTGGGTTTCCCATCCCTCCGCGAGCTTGGCCGTGCCCAACATGCCTGCTGCTGCTGCTGTGTCGTTTGGAGATGCAGGCCCCCGCAAAAAACGCGGCACGGGTGTGTATTCGACCGCTTCGAGTGAAAAGAGGAGAGGTCAATTGCGCGACCGGTGTCGCCCCTGTGCCTTTTAGAGTTGTGGTTCGTGCTGAGAGTGTCGGTGGGATAAAAGCAGCACCACAGTGCCACAACCAGACGTGTGGAGAGCGTGATGATTCCTGCGCCACGCAACCCACACAGCTGGCTCCCTAACTCTTTTTTTTTTCTTCAGAACAACTTCGTCACTATTTTTTCTCTCTCATGCTGTTCAGAACGACTGCTGTATACATCCGGAGGTCATTTACAGCAGAGTGTAGTTTTACAGCAGCAGTGTAGAATGCTGTTTTGAAAACAAAGACCGCAACAAGTTAAATCTCTCGCAGTCGTCTCTAGGGTTCGAGCATATCTCTTTTAGACGGGATACGGATACACATACCTACAAGCTAGTTGGCTCTCTCTCTGCTCTACTCTGAACCACCATCAGGTCAACAGGTTTGCAAGTTTGCCTGGCTGCATAGGTTCGCCCTCGAAAAAACACGGTTCGGGAGGTTCCTAAGTTGTGCCGCACCGTAGCACATGCACATGTTTGTTCAAAAAGCAACCAATATTAATTTTTAATTTTTGACCACAGCCACCCGGGGAACTAGCAAGCGGACACCGCCGGTGATATTACAGAGAATACCAACGACAGTACCACGTCTGGCGACAGAGCTAGCAGAAGAATTTGTAGGAAATGGCCTCTTGCGACGTTCCAGTTCATCTAGGCAGCGCAGCGCTTTCGAGATGCCGCCGTGACGATGATGATCGAGGACCGGCGGGGAGCTTTTCCTCCAGCAACACAGCGGGTTCACCAGCAAAGTTGGCGGTGAGAGGTCGATACGATGAGCGATCGGTGTCCGAATCACCTCCTGGCTTCGGTATAGAAAGAGACGACGATGACGATGAGGTTGCCGTTGCCAGGCGGTTTCCGAGGGAACAAGACGACGTGAGCAGCAGCGCGAAGACGTCTGGCAACATCACCAGACTGACCGATCATGCCAACGGCAATTTTCGAAGCCACACGGGCGACATGGCCGGAGACAGTGGTAACGATAGCCAGGCCGTCAGCGCAATAGCCCTCCTATTGCTTGCGGCTTCGCCTCCTTCACGAAGCAGGCGTCCTGCGGCGTCCGGGCCGGCCGGAGACGGTGAGTTCGGTCAAGTCATGCTTTTTCGCCCCCTTCGTATTTTCCCGAGGGGTTTCTCCTTCGCCCGCTTGTATGCATATGCGTATGTGCGTTGAACAGATGTTCAAACTACCATCCTGCGTTTTCCAACGTTAGGAAAGCTGGGAGATTCGGTGAACAGGCGATGCGTGTACTGCCTGTAGCAAGCGTAAGCTCTTTCCATCTTCGAGGCCCCTCCCAGACTTTGTAGTATCGGCGAAGGGTCGGTAATCAAACTATTGATTGGAAAAAGTCGGATTCTTGTAATCAAGGGTGTGCTCAGTATTTATGTATATTCCGTATGCATAGAATGAAGCCATCGAGCGCGGGGGAACGACCCCACCCGTCGTCCCTTAATACAACTTGCGAGATACGTGCTCTAAGCTGCATACCGTATTTTCTTGGCATTCGTGAAGAGCGATCTGTAGACTATGCGCTCAGCGAGTTTCGCCGAAATGCAAAGGGCAACACCGAGGCGCGGGATCATGCATGGGTCGCCGATACTGATTCCACTGAACTGCACCAACTCAGGAGACCGGCCTTCCATGAACCTCCATAGCCACACTTCAGATGCCCCGTACCGCCACTGCCCGTCAGCGTCGACGATTCTTTCGCTTTACAACTTGGTCGCGATAAAGTCTAGGTCTTGTGTTGAAGAAAAATGATTCCCGACACAACGGTGACAGGTATTTCTGCGAGCAGCTTGTCGGTTGCCGAACTGTCATCACCACCATCTTCATCATTACCATCGGCAACAGGTGCTGCAGCAGGTGCAATGCACCACGGGACCGGCAACAGTACGTCAAGGTGCACCGCCACCGTACAAGCTGCTTTGGCCGTGCCCAGTGCCTCCGTGTCCAATACTTCCAGCGTTCAAGAAGGGTGGCGGGTGTCATCGCACCCAGCTCCCGGGATGATCTCCACCTACACCAGCAACTCCTACCTCGGCGTTGTCAGCCGAGGTGGCGATGGCAGTGGCGAAAGGTGGGCTGGCGTTGACAGCCGCTGGGCTGGAGGTGGTGGTGGTCGAGGGGAAGGAGGAGGAGGAGGAGAGCGAGGATACCCTGTCTTAAAACTTGACGAAGACGATAGCAAGTGTGGAAGGACAAGCGGTGGCTGGGCTACGCCGAGTCGAGCTCGAGCACCATTGACTTCTTCCTCTCTCGCTCCCTTCTCTGCGAACGGCCCTTTACCTTCGGCACCAGCTGTCTCCCGTAGGGGGGAGCGGTGGGCGAGGAGTGTCCCCTACAGTGGCGACGAGTTTGGTTCAGTCGTCATGCCCGAAGGAACAGCAGGTCAACAATACTCGTCGAAGCACAGCCATGAATTTCCGGGTGACGGTGGCGACGACGGTTCTTACCGGAGCCGCTACGCTGCATCGTCCCTGGCATCATCTCAGGCGGGCGGAGGCGAAGGCGGCGGTGGCGGTGGCCACCAGTACGGTGACGATCGTGGTGAAGGGCGAAGGGAAGCTTCTACCCACACGAGGGGCGGCGTGTTGCGGATTCAGTCAGCGCGGAAGCGGGACGAAGCCACAATGACAGCCCCAGTACCCATGCGCATGCGCAGCCCGCTGAGATCCCCCTCGCCGCCGAGAGCAGCCGGGAGGAAGAAGCCGGACGGCTACCGCGCTAACACGTGGGAAAAAGTAGGCCGAGGGCAGTGCACGTCGCCCATTGGCCCAAGCCGCGGCAGTGGCTGGAGCAAGCGGTGGGTTCCCGACAGCCCTGGTGCCGGTTGTAAGGCCGGTGGCACACCAGCGTCGAACGGCAAGAGAGGCCGCGGAAGGGACACCGGCAGCGCCAGCTGCTACGATGAACGAATCGTCGCTGGTCGAGGAGACCACGCAGAGTTTTCCCCCGGTGGCGCAGGCTCGCACCAACGGCAGCATCCATCGAGGGTACGCGAGCACGGCCGGTCACCGTGGCCCCTGAAGATACCGGGCATCGCCGCCGATCAACAAGTCGATGCCGCTACCGAGCAAGAGAGTCAGAAACGAGAGGAGGTAGAGCCTGCTTTCGCCACTGGGGCCGCCGCCGGCGGTGGGCAATGGAGAAACGAACGCGGTGCGGCCAAGGAGGCCGCGGTGGAGCTTGGAAGCGGCGAACCTCGGACTTTGAAGAGACGACGGGCCGTCGGCGCTCGAAAGGTGTCCAAAAATGGAAACTCTAAGGTGCAGCAGAGGTGTGACAGGTGTCCACCTTGGCCAGTAGACGGCGTAGGTTCCGACGTATTGAGCTTCTGCCCCCACATGATACCCTCGGTAGGTGAATATACACCCAATGGAAGGATGAGACAACTCATCTGCTCCCTGCTGCCCCCAACCTTCAACCCTTACGGTGCACATCTGGTACATTCCCAAGCCACATATATTCCTCTTCCGATGATGAATCTGACTCGAAACAAAGAAGATCACCGGTTCTCAAACCAGCGAAAGGAGCCTTTCCCTAGAGTTTTTCACCACCAAACGACCTTTGTGCCTTTCTTGTTCTAGGTCGCGGGGAGCCGGCGACCTTTGGCGATGGACTTGAACATGGAAGGTTCCGTTGAGGCTTTCGTCGCGGCCCCGGCAAGGAACAGAGGTAATACAAGTATTTGATGGAATCCACCCCTCACCTACGTAGCTTCTTCTCGACGGTCAATACCATTTCAGAGCAAAATTAGTTGTAGAGGTAGTCATGCAAACTGAAATGACCGCAAGCAACATTGGGTGCGATCACAATCCTGACCGGCGGTAGTAAGGTTATCCAGGTGCCTCAGGCCAATCATGGCAGCTGCATGATAGCTCTCTCGAAAGAAGGAACGCCAAACAAACCAGCAAACCCCAACCAAACGGCACAATGACGGCAGCGAAGCAAAAACCCTCCCTCCCCGGTCGCCGACTTTTCCCGTTCAGGTGTCGCCACGGCCGCCTCCGGTCGACCCTCTCCCCGGAAGAAGAGCAAGAACCTCGTGTGGTCTCAGTTCAGGAAGGCGTGCGACCGCTGCACAGACAAGAAGGTGCGTTCGTGTTCGTCTGCCGCCATTCGTAGTGTTCTCTAAGACGATTGTTTTGTCGTGGACGTTCTGTAAGACGTTTGGTTCGCGACAGGTGGGCAGCGGTAGTAGCAGGGGGTCGGTGATTTCTTGCTTGGGGGTGGCTGTGTGCGGTAGGGTCAGTCAGCGGGCCGCTTGTCGTCACACGAAAGTGACATCGGCGAACCTTTCCTAAAGCCTCCTGTTCGCAAACTTCCGAAACCTAATTCACGTCGATTCTTTGCCTCAGCTCTGTTCCCTTGCCAACACAACTTTATTCTCTCGAAAACGTCTCCAATCGAAAACCAAACGAACCGAACCGAACCCCCCCGCGCCGTCTCCAGCCGTCAATTTGAATCTGATCAAGCCAACAACACGCTCCAGAAATTCTTCCACGCTCTCATACGCACTCTGCTTCTAGTTATTTCGTATTCACCCCTTTTTCCCACGCTTAACTTCGTACTTGCTGCCTACCACGGCGGTAGGTGCGATGCGACGGGAGCAACCCTACCGGAGGGTTCAAGGCCTGCACGCCTTGCAAGAGGGCAGGAGAGGCGTGTCTCTTCGGGATCTGCCGTCGCTCGGGACCCAGGTGACAAAAGAACGCGGATGAAAGGTTTGGTGCCCTCCGACAGGCTCCCTCTTTTGCTCACTGCTTTGATCGTGGCCTAGCTAGGTAGCCAAGGGCTTTCGGCGCAAGGCTCCAATTTTATTGCACTGTTTTTCGCTCATTTTCACGGTTTTTTCCCTCCGCCGTTGGACTAACTTGCTGAAGGAAGGAGACATTTTGGTACTCTCTCACTTCCCGAAATCAGGAAAAAGTGCTACGACGGTTCGTGTGTCGATGTGTGTCTTGCTCTCTTCTATCATGCAATACAGCGTTGTCGCTCGCATCTCGAGCCTGTCCCTCGTTTTTGTCGGATCGCAGCCCGGGCTGGCCGCAATCGTTACCCTAACCCGATATGCAAAGGTTGGACGGCGCTCCTATAATTCCTTGCGATATATTTTTGTATGGGCTTATCGGCTCTTCTGAAGGGAATTGTTTCTGGGAGACCTGACTGTCCATGTGGCAAAGGAGTAAGCATGGAAGCACTTGGCTTTGTTCCAGGAGGTATGATACGCTGCTCTTCTTCACCCTTAGAGGCGTATGGTGTTGGCCCTCTTGGGCGTGGCGTGCTTTACTCTCTAATGATCGGTTCGGGACGTGCATATTTATTTCCTCTGAAAGAATTCAAACTAGATTTGCTAAAGCAAGTCTGTTGTGGATGCCTTAATCTTCGTCCTGTTTCTCTTGTGCAGTGTTTATTTGCCCTCCGCTTTGCGTAGCCTCGAGAGTTCACCTTGACGTTGCCTGTATTAACGCTTCTTTCGCGCTGTTGAACTTACCGGGACCGCAAACGAGACAGGGACGCGCACGGACACAAGACAGCCGCCGCGGGCGTCATCATGAAGAGGTGAGGCGCGTGGCTCTTACCCGATGCTTGGCACAGAGGATCTCGGCCATGTGCAGAGTACTGTAGGTAGCGCGTGCACGGGCGTGTCGGCCGGTCGATGGACCAAGTCGCGAGAACGAGCTGCCACACCACAACCAACTTCAATGGTAACACTCATCAAGATTTTCGAACAACAATAACAACAATAACAATATGACCACCATCTAGCACCTACCAAGCCTATTGAACAAGAAGGAGAGCAATAACAACAATGCTACCGCAATGTAGCACACCTCAAGCCTATCGAACAATAACATTAACAACAAAATATATATTGCCACTCTAATCATCGCACAGGAACGACTTCGAGAAGGTTACCGAACGGCTCGGCCAGTGCCGCACGAAGACGTGCCGATTCGTCAACAAGGACGGCTCCTTCTGGCGGGAGCACTTCCACTGCAGGGTCGGCGACTGCTCCTTCGCCGGAAAGACGTAAGAGCTTTCTTGTCAATCGGCCGTCCCAGGATTTATACCGCCCCTATCGTCTACCCTTCTCTTGTACCATCTCTTTACATTGGCTTTGCTTGTTTGTGCAGCTTGTGCCATTGCGTCCGCCGTTCGGGCTTTCGCGGTGCAGACTTCCGCTCCACTGCTGGAGATGATTTCTCAGGCTGCTACTCGACTGCGGTCGTTTAGGTTGTCGTAGCTTACCCCGACAACGTAAATCCTTGTGCGCTTTGACTCATCCGCCCATTTTTTCCTCGTACGTAAACAACCATACCCAACGATAGGTATCGCACTTCGTCGAACCCAAGAAAATATTTCCTGCGCACGCCCAATAATTCCAGCAATCAAGTAAATTATTCAGCAAACTCTTCGAAAGTGTATACCGTCCCCTTTTCTGACGGCGTTACGGTGTTAGTAGTCGCAACCGCTTGATAGAACAGCGATAAATACATCTGCACTGATTTTGCACTGTTTAGGGTGGTTGTACAGGAAAGGAGGGAGGGATGTACCCTGTGTGGAACAATACTTAAAGTCTCGCTTACTTCTCACCTTCGCTAAACATTCAAACCTCTCTTTCTGACTACCTCGACGTGGTTCTGGGCCCCTCTGCTTTTCCTCCGGGTTCTCTGTCAGCTCCAACAAGTGTCTACCCCTTGCACCTAACTCCCCTTCACCCCTCCTTGCCCTCTTTTCCCTCGCGCTGTTGCCTGTCGCACGTCCGAACCGGCCGCGATCGACATTGTCCCTCTCCGTCCGTCCGTCCTTCTGCCTTTTTCGTCTGTTTGTCTGTCTGTCTCTCTCTCTGTCTCTCTCTCTCTCTCTCTGTCTCTCTCTCTGTCTCTCTCTCTCTCTCTCTGTCTCTCTGTCTGTCTGTCTCTCTCTCTCTCTCTCTCTGTCTCTGTCTCTGTCTCTCTGTCTCTCTGTCTCTCTGTCTCTCTGTCTCTCTGTCTCTCTGTCTCTCTGTCTGTCTGTCTGTCTGTCTGTCT